TGCCAGTGGTTTCGGAATAGGCGCTATGTTGGCTCAGCGACAACGTGGGCAGCATCGCGTGATAGCTTATGCCAGCAGGCTGCTGTCCCCCTCTGAGCGTAATTATTCCATCACAGAGCGCGAATGCCTAGCGCTGGTGTGGGCAGTCGTGAAATTGCGCCCTTACTTATACGGCCGACCATTTATAGTTCTCACCGACCACCACGCTCTTCGCTGGCTCGCCTCCCTCAAAGATCCCACAGGTCGTCTCGCCCGTTGGGCACTCCGCCTCCAACAGTATTCTTACACCATAGTGTATAAATCAGGAAAACTACACAAAGATGTGGATTGTCTGTCACGCTACCATGTGGCCGACTGCGATCCTACGAGCACTGATTCTGTTGGTTGCGTATTTTCCGTCTCCCAGCTGTTTCATCTCGGGGACGAGCAGCGTCGTTATCCGCATATCAGGCCTAATACAACAGCTCGAATCTTCACCGCAAGACGCTTCTGTTCGCATGTTTACCTTACAGGACCACACCTTATATTGGCGTAATTTATCGCCAAATGGTCACAACCTACTTCTGGTCATACCAAAGCACCTACGCTCCACAGTCCTACGCGAGCTCCATGACGCGCCAACCGCGGGTCACCTTAGTGTCTCTCACACATATGACCATGTGCCCCGCTGCTTCAACTGGCCTGGCCTTTCATGCTCTGTACGTCGTTATGTCAACGCTTGCAAAATTTGCCAGCGCCGCAAAAAGCCGTCGGGACTCCCTTCCGGGTATCTTCAGCCCATCGACATCCCATCGGAGCCATTCTTCCATGTTGGTTTGGACGTTCTCGGTCCCTTCCCAACATCCGCCTCCGGAAACAAGTGGGTCGCGGTTGCTACAGATTACGCGACCCGCTATGCAGTTACGCGAGCCATGCCAACAAGCTGCACTATAGACGTCGCTGATTTTCTACTACGCGATCTCATTTTAGTGCATAGAGCCCCTCGTCAACCGCTGACAGACCGAGGCCGTATGCGTTCCTTTCGAAAGTGGTTGACGATATCCTGCGTTCCTGCTCTACCCAACATAAGCTCACGACATCGTACCATCCCCAGACAAACGGGCTTACAGAACGTTTAAACCACACCCTGACAGACATGCTATCGAAATACGTCTCGGCCGACCATAGTGATTGGGACCTTGCACTAACCTACGTGACGTTCGCATACAATTCCTCCCGGCATGACACTGCTGGTACTCGCCATTTTACCTTCTGTTTGGACGCGAACAAACATTGCCGTTGGATACCTTCCTGCCAGCCGCTGCGCAGTCTACTTCTGAATATGCACGCGACGCTATTACCCGAACTGACCATGCTCGTCAGCTTGCCCGCAGCAGATTAATGGCGTCCCAAGACTCGCAGAAACACCGTTACGACTAGCGGCATCGCGACGAACGCTTTCCGACTGGTTCCCTCGTTCTTCTTTGGTTCCCTACGCGACATGCAGGCCTTTCAGAGAAGCTTCTTTCTCGTTTCACGGGCCCATACCACGTGCTTAGACGAGTGACCGACACTACATATTAAATTGTCCCTGATAACCCATCAACCTCTTCTGCTCTGCTGTCCCGGGACATCGTCCACGTATCCAGGCTCAAGCGTTACTTCACTGCTCCTGCTGTGGCCCCGCAAACTCGCCGGGTCGGCGCTTTTGCCGCCGGGGGTTGTGTTACGTGATTTCGGCTGACTGAAACAGGGCATAGTGGGACATACCCCAAAAAGGTGCCTCAGACTGAGAGTGAAGAAGTGGACGTTGTCGGTGAGCTGCGTTGTGGCTGTGGACTGACTATTGTTATTTTCCACGTAACAATATGACGTAGGTGATACGACATGGCTCATCATGCAAGGCAACTGCGGCGGCGCATCGGAAACCATGCCGTGTCAGAAACAAAACTGACCACAATGCTGGCGCGTTCAAGAGTGTTACAAGCGTCATAGCTCGGCAGCGCGCGAGATGAGAACGTCGAGTAATCTATCGTTTGGTGAAAAGATTAAATCGCTTTTGCTTGAATATTGTTATGCGGCCCGTTCACAAATGCTAAGCCGAACTCGACTATATACAACTCGGGGAAATCGAATTGTCCTTCTTATCAAACTTTCTCCGGACAAGACAATGACTTTATATCACTTCATTGAAAAATCTACAGCGACGTTAAACGGAATTTAGCCCTGAACACTTCAAGCTTCGAAAATCGGCCAGCGCGAAACGATCCAACAAGTTGGCTTTGCCTTAAAAGAAGTTCCTTTTTCCACAATGAGGGCGCACGAGCTGTGTCAAGGTGGACTAAAGTCTTCAGGTGCCCGACGAATACGAACAGCTATACCTATGAATATGTGGAGGCGCTGTTTACATAGATACCGTGCTTTCTCTTGTGTGACTCGCCCCTGTATATAACTCGCAAATTTAACTTCAAAACACGGAAGAATAAAAAAGAAAGAAATGCACGTGTATTTTTATTAAATTGTGTCCCTTGCAATATTTTCAAGTAAACGCGAAGCCGACTTGCATACCAAACATCCCATCAAAATTACAGCAAATTCTTTGAAGGGCCAGTGAACAGGCTCCAACTTTATTTAACACCCCCCCCCCCCCCCCCATACAAGCTCGGTAATTCGTAGATTAGGCCGCAGCGATAACGTTTTCTGAATATTACAGCGCTGTGCACCGTGCAGAGCTCCTATTTCGAAAAACAATTCCCGTGTACCTTTCCTACGTCTGAACGACCTCCTTGTACGCGCAGTGACGTCAAATCGGCGATTGGCGACGTAACGTAGCACGCAGCTCGCCAATCAGTTCAAATCAGGAGTGAAAAAACAGTAGTCAAGTCAACGTCAGTTCCTGTTCCCACCCACAGCTACGAAACTGCCCATTGTTTCTTGGTGGTGCGGTGAAAGACTTCGCAGTTGTCGCGTGCACGTGTACACTCCTAGCTCAACTACAGCGCCTGGCGCACGTACGAACGTACTTCGCCCTTGACATGAGCGACACGGGTAAAAAGCGTTGCTCTGTCGTCGGCTGCAAATCGAGCGACTGGGCAGCAGAGAAGCATCGGCACCGGGTGCCTCACGATGGGGCCCTGCGCGCTGCATGGCTGAAGCGAATCGGCCATCGAGCGACGTACGTCGGGGACCTAATCGTTTGTGGTCGACAAGTCGCACCTGACGTTTACACTGTTGACCCGTGGCTGGTGCGGCAAACGGTAAACAAACAACCACGCTTCGCAGCAAGCGGAAGCGCGTAGCGACTGATCGAGTTCGCCGATGACGTCAATCGCTCACGTGGTGTCACGTTGCCGAAGTGGGCGGAGTCACAACGACGGGCTACGTCTTTTTCTTCATGGAAGAGAGAAGGGGGGCGAGGCCGCGAGAAAATTTGAAACCAGCTTAGACCGACGTTCTAACCCCTGTAACTTCCTTAATGAAGCACGTATTCGCAAAATTCTTGCGGCAGCATGTTTGCAAAGAAAAACTGCACATATATCTCTTTAAAAAAATTTTCCACCTCAGAGCTGTTTACTGTCTCTTTAAAAGGTTTCTATTGAATTGTAGAATATATCGTTATTTTTCGTTTTAGTTTGTAAGAAAATTACAATTTTATTTTTCATTTTTCAGAGTTTGATATGTTCGTGTTTGACTGTATATGAACTAAGCTGCGCTACGCACACATGTGCTTAGCGAGAAATGCCGTGTGCGCGCACAACGATCATGCCATCATCTAAAAAAAACAATGCTCTGGCTCCGGAAAAGCTGATTGAGCAGATCAGGGTAATGCGACCGTTTGGAGATGTGCTTCTTGCAGCCAAACATGTACTGGGCGTCTCTGAAAATCTTAACTTCCATGTGCGCGTAGTGCACGCATGCACGCACGCACGCACACCGGTTTCACGATGGTGCTAACGGGCGAGGCGTGAACGTGCCTAGATAGCTTGAGTAATTGCTGATTTATTGATTGATATGTGGAGTTTAAAGGGAAGGTGAAGCACTTTTCTAAAGAAATGACTTAGGAGCGTGTAAGGACAGCTTGATTACCTGCTTAATTAGAAAAGCGATGTTAGAGTTCTCAAAAGTGAACGCCAATAGCACTTTTTGGTGAAAAAAAAAACAGTGGCTCTGGCCACCGGGCTTCTTGAGACGCCGAGCGAGCATGGTGACGTCATTCTCGATATGACGCGTCATCTGCAACAACAGCACTCCTGAAGTGTGGCCTCTTTGATCAGTTCCGGTAACGGCACGTCATGGGTCAGTCATGGAGGCCGTGGTTGAAGAAAGGAAGAACACTTGCTCCAAGCCAGAGGAAACAAAGATGTATGTTTCCACGCCCACACTTTCAGCGGGCTCGCGGGGGCGGAGCAAGACAAGCTTTTATTTAGCTTGTTGTAAAGCTTCTGCTGCTACAACCACGAAAACAATTATGACATCGCCAATAATGATGGTCCTTTCTAAACACAAAGTTTGATTCAATTCTAAAATCTTTTCAGCTTCCCTTTAACGTCCTAAAACCACCACATGATTATGAGAGACACCGCAGTGGAGGGCTCCGGAAATTTCGACCACCTGGGGTTCTTCAACGTGAACCCAAATCTGAGCACACGGGCCTACAAAATTTTCGCCTCCATCGGAAATGCAGCCGCCGCAGCCGGGATTCGTTCCCGTGACCTTCGGATCAGCAGCCGAGTACCTTAGCCACTAGACCTCCACCGTGGAGCTTTAGTAATTGCTTACTGCATACAACACATACCTTTCCTTTCATGAGAACTTTTCTTCCAAGAAACTTTTCTTCTATGAAGCCAGCAGCCTTCACCGACCATAACTGGATGGGACGACACCTGCCCTTACGAGCCGCTGTCGCGTATACGAACTTGATTGCGAATTAGTAGAGTGGTAATTTAGTTGGTAACAAGTTATTGGTGTTTTATGGGCTACAGAGTGTTGCGTTATCTGCTTGCTGCTCGTCTCACTCGCAGGCCCCGAAGGATCGAGTGATCGTGGAACGACTCGGCCACCTGCTCAGAACCCTGGACCGCAACGAGGATGAACAAGAATGTACGTGTGTTACAGTGTTGCATCCGCATTCAAGCTTTATTTATATTTTAGAAAGTGACCAATTGCGACTAGGAGCTTCGTACATCTACCTAGATTCTGGTGAAATTCGTGCCAAAGCTGTGGGGTAGCAAATCCAAGAACCTGATCCTTCGTGCAGCTCGTTAAAATTAAATGTGCATGCTCACCCGTTCCAAGGTTAGTTGGGATATTTTCTAATTCACCATATCATAGCGGCAGGCCCGTAGCCTAGAATTGTTTTCGGAAAGGGGCCGAGACACTTGTTGAAGGCCTTGAAAATTTTAGAAAAATCTTTTTTTCTTGCTAGGAAAAATACATTTTTTTCATTAGGAGGGAGGGTGTAGGGAAATTACCCCCTCGCCCTTCCGGCTACGGGCCTGCATAGCGGTATTCTTTTGTGAGTACGCGGTCTGAGATCGTAATCAGAACAAAGTTCCAAACGCTGGAAGGGTTCGTAAGAATGTTTTTAAAACTATGTTGTTAGTCAGAACATTATCAGCCGTGGTAGCCAGTCGATCACCAATCACTCACAAAGGAAAAAAATTGCAAACCAATTTTTTTACGAGATATGTCTTTGTGCTTTCTGAACGAGATTCCTCATAAGCTTTTTGTTTTGTTTTTCTCTTCAGACTGAGAAGAAGCAGCATGCAGCACAGGTTCCTAGAGGAGAGAAATGAAACGGATGGAATTACAACTTTGTACTTTGACTATTCGCTGCTTGCATTTGCCATGCCTGTCATATCATTCCCGCGGAATTAAAAACGACATATTCATGACTGACGGTCGTAAAATCTGTTTGAAAGTATGAAAGGTTCGTAGCAGCGATCTTCACATTGTTTGCCTCTCTGGTGACATCTTCTGCTGTATCTCGCCGCTACAGCGCACTTCTTCGGCAGTTCTGTAGCGGAGAGGCCGACGACATCCACGGGTATTAACAATCAGGCGTGATAGCTATAAAGCAGGGCGGGATAGCTAGGAGCTTGTAATTTTCATTTAGAGCTACGCTTAGAAAAACATTACGAAGCTTGGAACCGCTTCAAGCGCATGCAAACTTCATTGTCGATAACCCTGTTCAGATCGTAAAGGTATGATGAGCGTGGCTTTGCATTGGTGTAGCCTTTGATTATAATTTCCGCAGCTTCTACTCCGCGGCTTGTCCATGATAAAAACAGGTATTAAAATGTAGGTGGCATCTATCGCAGAAAAACTATTCCAGGTAACCCCGCTGTTACAGTCATTGTAACAGTGGGGTTACCTGGAATAGTTTTTCTTGACACACTGATACCTTCCTATGTTGGAAAGGATGCTCCACTGGATTCACTTCAGCCTGGAAGATACGTCACTACCACGGAGGAAGAGTAGACAGGAGGTGAAATTCAGCTCCCTTCCGCGCCGCGATTGTGCCACCCCCACGGAGCGGCCATGGATGTATGGATGGATGGATATGGCTGTACTGTTTAGATCGGGCGGTGGCTAGCGCCACCAAGCCGTAATACTTAGTGAACCAAAAACTAGATTTATCTTTTTTTCCCTTTAAATAGTGAGGTTTATGACTGGTACTCTGCAATGAAAAGTTGTTTTCACTCGTGCCTTGGCCTTAGCCACCAATCAGATAACCTCCTTCTAGTTAATTCTACCCGCTTAAAGTCTATTCTGCCCTACCTGTCCCTAAACCTCAGTGCTTTGAAAAGCTCTGCGTCATCATCCTGAAATATAAGGTGAAGCCTTTACAGAACATTGTCAAGTGTTCGGCAATTTCCTCCTCCTCTCCACACGCACTGCATACCGTGTCTACCCCTTCGTATTGGGCCCGATATGTCTTGGTTCGCAATACTCTCGTCCTGGCCTCAAACAGTAGAGAACTACGCCGTGTATTATCATAGATCCTTTCCTTGGCAATTTCCTGCTTAAAAGTTCGATAGATTTCTAGTGCGGACTTCTTAATTGTACCAATTCTCCACATATCGGTCTCAGCTTCCTTCACCTTCTTCTTAACTGATAATTCTTTTTGGTTTGGCCCCCTGCTGTTTTCCAAGTATTTACCAGTCAATTTTCTGGTTCGCTTCCGCCATTTTGTTTCGACATTCTTCATGTAGAAGTAGCTGAATACCTTCCTAGCCCAACGCTCCTCCCCCATTTCTCTCAATCGCTTCTCAAATTTTATCTTGCTGCTAGCTTACCTGTCCTCAAATGATGTCCATCCCATATCACCTTGAACTCCCTCATTTGGTGTATTCCCGTGAGTTCCTAAGGCAAGCTTACCTATTCAACGTTGCTTAATTTCTAATCTTGCTTGAACTTCTGATCTCAGGCACAAGACCGCATTGCCGAACGTCAGACCAGGAACCATGACCCCTTTTCATATTCCTCTCACAACATCATACCTATTGTAATTCCACAGTGCCCTGTTTTTCATTACCGCTGCATTCCTGTTACCTTTAGTCGTCACGTATGTTTCGTGTTCCCTTATGTACTCGGCCCCATTGCTTATCCATACGCCCAGATATTTCTATTTATCTGTTATCTCTAGCATGACCTCCTGTATTCTAAGCTCACTAGCTTCATTGTCATTAAAGATCATGACTGCTAATTTTTCCTTACTGAATCTGAAATCTAACCTATCTCCCTCATTACCACAGATGTCCACCAATCTCTGCAAATCTTCCTTGTTGTCGGCCATTAGCACTATATGATCTGCGTACATCAATTATGGTAGTGCCTGTTCAATGAGTTTTCCTTGTTTGATGAAAGAGAGGTTGAAGCCCAGTCCACTTCCCTCTGATTTGTCAGAGGGAAGTGGACTGGGCTTCAGAATCTTTCTAGGTACATCATGAATAATAAGGGTGACAGGGGACACCCCTGTTTAAGCCCCGTTTTACCTCTGCAAGCTTGAATACCTGTTTTTCCTACTATATAATTACCTTGTTACCTTTATAGATATCCTTTAAAAGATTAGTGACTACATCTTCCACGCCTAGTGTGTCCAGTATTCCCCACAATTCCTCTTGAACCATGCTATCGTACGCTCCCTTGATATCCAAAAATGCTAGCCACAGGGACCTGTGTTCCTTTTCTGCTATTCAGATGCACTGCGTCAGTGAGAACAGATTGTCTTCCAACCTCCTGTGTTTCCGAAACCCATTCTGCAGTTGCCCCAGCACCCCCTCATTCTCTATCCATGCCTGCAGTCTTTCCTTTATAATCTGCATCGCCAACCTGTAGACCACTGATGTCACTGTTATAGGACGGTAGTTGTTTATGTCAGCTTTGTCCCCCTTTCCTTTATAGATCATGCTCATCCTGCTAAGTTTCCATCCATCGGGAACTTCTCCATCGATTATTATTTTGTTCACTGCCTCTCTCAAGCCTGCTTAGACTTTGGACCTAATGTCTTTATCAGCATAATTGGAATGCCACCTGGGCCTGTTGATTACTACTAGGAACCCTTTTCTCATCCCTTTCCCACTCTTGTGGCGAAAATGGAGCCATTGCGCCACTTGATTCATCCTTGTCTACTGTGGTGCATAAAGCACTTCTTTGTTGCAATTTTTCTGCCACCCTTGTTCTTACATATTCAATAGCTTCGTCCCCTTCTGGCCTAGCACCTTGAGGTGTAGTTATAAACCTCTGCTCTAGGCTCGTCTCAATTCTTAAGGAGTTAAGATGGTTCCAAAATTTCGCAGCTGCCTTTCTATCCTTTGTATGTACTTCTGCCAGCGACTGAACCCTCTTTCTTCTAATCTTTTCATTGATCAGAAGGGATGTATCCCTTCTACAGCTTAGAAAGATTTCCCATTTTCTTTCAACATCATCTGTCGGTTCACTCCACTGCTTAGCATGTCTGTGTTCCCTAGAGGCTTCCTGACGTTTTGCTATGGCTCTCTTAACTTTCTCATCCTACCAACTCTTGGGTATGTGTCTTCCTTTGCGGGGTGACTTGTCACGTGCCTCAGCAAGTTTCAGCTGAGTCTAATTAGATTCGTATACGTCCACGTGCCATAGCAAGCTCTAGCTCAAACAGTCTACTTAGATTCGTGTATGTCCACACTGTTTTATTATTCTCAGTGATTACTTTCTTAATTTGTTTAGTGGCTATTTCAATTTGTCTTTCTGAATAAAAAATTTCCTGTAGTTGCTCATCTTGTCTTCTTTCCACTTTCACTGCTCTTCCAAACTTAGCTTGATACGTTTGTGATCACTACACAGACTTCTGGAGCCACCTTCATCTATGTGCATTCCCCTGAGCTTATAATACATCCTATGTGACATCAGTGCGTAATCTATCGTCGACTGCAGCTTTCTTACCTCCCATGTTATTTGCCCTTCACACTTCTCGGTACTGTTGCAAATGATCAAATCAAGTCTTTCACACATATCCATGATCATTTTGCCTGTCGGGTCGGTATACCCATCTATATCTTTTATGTGTGCATTCATATCTTCTAGTATAATTATCTCGCACTCTCCTCCTAACTCCTGAATGTCATTTGATATACACTCTACCACTGCCTGGTTTTCCTCTTTGCCCTTTGCTCCCGTCCACAAGTACACGAAACCAAGGAGTGTCATTTGCCCTTCCACTTCCCCCTTTAGCCATAAATGTTCCTTGCACTTCTGCTTGACCTTTTGCCAGTCTGTACTTTTATGAATGAATGCCCCAATACCACCCCTTTTTCTGCTGCCTTCTGTTCTATTACAATATTCCCACGCGTAGTCCGCATTGTTAGGAGGTTGTTCCATGTCCCTGAGATGTGTTTCTACAAAACCGTATGCCATCGGCTTCTCCTCCCTTAGATGCTTTTCTATCTCTTCCCACTTCAGTCTGTTCCTACCACCCTGCATGTTAATATACCCTATGTCTGAATTAGCTCGGCGCTCATGGATGAATGTCGTGGCAGCGCCACCTATAAAACTGCGTCCGAACTGCCGCGCCGGAGCAGCAGACGCAAGGAGCGTCGTCTACTTGCACGCTTGTGCTCGCTGCTTCGCGTATTAGTGCATAGCTCAGATACACTCGCTAAACGAGACGGCGAATCGTTACGACGAGTTTACGCTAAGCTAGCCAGATCGCCTTAGCAGAGATACCATACCACGATAGTTTGGCGAAGCTGTCCGCAAGCGCTAAAGAGGTTCGCCTTTACTCTTTCACCTTCGCATGCGAGGGTAGAAATATTTGTGGGAACAGGGCTTACAATATGCGGTAATAAAAAACATACAGGGGGAGCTTTTTATATTAGAGAAAAAGTAAAAAAAAATAGAAACGAAAAAAAAACAGGAAAACACTTTTCTCATATGTCTGCTCTCTTCCGAAGCTCGTTTTATGTTGTAAATTCCTGAGAACCAATTGTTCATGCCAAGCTACAACAACCAAACATGTAATACTGAGAACCACGCATTTTTCGCGGTGTAGCTTACCTTGAAGTTTGGAGGTTGGTAAAATATTCGCTGAAGACTTCTGACTCAGGACGAGTATCCTCTACCTTCGCTCTTTTGGCGCAGCTTTTATGGGTAATTTCAGCAATATTCTGGCCAATTCTTGGCTTCATTTCTAGACACAAGTAAGTATAACTTCCTCTCATATTCTTAAGGTGCCGCTTCAGCGAGTCACAATATTTTTGACTGGTCAGGTATGTCTTTAAATTTAAACTTAGCGTAGTGTCACGCCTGCCGACCGATCCGCTGGGAAAATGATTTTTCTAGACGCACTCGCTTCCCTTTCATTGTCTATCTCTTCTTCATATAGCCCTCGCCCATTTTTTCTACTGTTTTTGGTCTGATGG